GCGAAGTGAGGAAAGTCGTGTAAAGTGCCTTTCTCAAGGGCACAAGATCGGTGGCATGTCAGGACTCGAACCCGGGACTCTTAGTTCCGAGTCGCGCACTCTGCCGCTACGCCACACGAACCCACACGGATTAGATGTTGGAACATGAAAATTAAAAAAGGAGGAACACCAACCTAAATGTGTCGTATTCAGCGTAGCGCCATTCTGAATCCCAGCCCAGCATGACAATCCGCAAATGATAGTTCTTCTGAGTAGTCAGGCGGTGGATGTTATCGTTCCCAAGCCAGTATTCCCCGTTCTTGTTCCCAAACCCGTGCTTGTACTCCTCCCAGGTCCGGTCAAAGGTAACCGACCCGTCCTGTCGTCGCTGGATTACGGTCCATCCTCCTCCTGTGGGAAAACACTCATTATTACTTCGCAGGTCATTACAGAGTTACACATGGAAACAGCACGAACTATATTCGCTTTGCAGAGGAGAGTTATGTATATAGCCTTAATTTAAGCTGTGTTAATATGTAATGTGTAATTGTCAATGTATTTATGTTCTGGAAATGTGTCAAGTGTGTCTTGAAGGGCCACAGGAAGAATAGCTACATTTTTGTGTGGATCTCAATAAAGTCAAGTCAAGTCATTGACCCTGTGAGTGATTGTTCCTATAAATAGTATTTGACCAACAACAGAATTGACTTTTGCATCCCCATGTTATAGTTTTAGTGTTGCCTTTGGCAGTTTATGCGCAACTGTGTATATTGCAAATCCTTATGTACCTTAAAACAATATCTACCTGCTGTATCCATGTCACAGTAGACCTCTACACCGGACAGGGGTGAGCCAAGTGTGTAGACTCCACTGGTCGTGTGTCCGGCGGCTTTATATGCAGCACAGTCTGCCTCTGGGAAACGGTAAGTAGCAGGGGACAGAGTCACGATGTAATAATTGAAGTCAAACGAGAGTAGCATATTGGTAACACAACATAAATGGAAATTTCTGATCAAACTATGAAAGTCTGTAAATGTGGGGACACACGGCAGTAGACATAGAAAAGAAGTGGAGGTCGCAAATACCGAACTAGAATGAATTGGACTGCATAAAAATGTTTGTATGATGTAATTATAAGGTGATGTGACCGGTAACGCTTGTACATGTACGAGTATAGTATGACTGTCATCTATCTATTAAATGGAAATGCTTGGATGTGTCAAAGTTTACAGGCACGATGGTGGAAACGTTATGACTGTGTCGCTGTAAGACCCGCACGTGTAGCATCAGAACCGTGAGAAACTCGTACACTCCAACTCACCTGCAGGAGGAGCAGTCGGGGCTGCTGGGGTTGTGACCTGCGGAGGAGCAGTCGGGGCTGCTGGGGTTGTGACCTGCGGAGGACCATCACTCGCGGGGGGTCCTGACAGACATCCCAAGTCTGTTGGTTTGATAAACATTTATACGTTTATCCTTCAAAGCTTTTTGAACTTTTATTTACAAATAAGAGTACTTCCAGTCAAACACCTGACAGACCGGCAAGCCAACTTTATTTACCTGAACGTTTTCCAAGGATGAATACAGTCTTGGCCTCTGAGTTTCTCTTGGATCTCTGGTGCACCTCCGCACTTTTCCAAAAGGTGGCGCTGTCATCACGTCGCCAGTCTTCAGTTGAGCTAGCTGGGCCCTATAAAGAAATTATCTTTCCGTTATTGTAAACAGGTACAATCGCAAGGTTCACCATAGGCTACACTGTAGTATGATAACACTATCACATAAAGGTACTTAAATCACGATGGACATTTACTTGTTTCTAATTCAGACCACAGCAAGGCTCCGAGCTTCACATATGTGTGGCTCATAAACAGTAGCATGACTTTGAAAAGGTTTTAAGCCTACATTTCTTGAGGAAAAAAACATAAAAATCTACGAATAATGTCGCCTCTAGTTACGGTCGGGAAAAAAGTGGCAACATCATCAAGTTGCCCTTAGCCTCGTTCTCTTGCTTCAATCTTCGAATGATGCCGCCTCTGGTTACCGTCTAAAAAAAGGGACAAAATCATCCTTACCTCGTTCTCAGCCTTCTTCTCTTGCTTCAACTGCATCTGGAGCACCTGATCCTTCAGGTAGGCTTGTAGTTCTTCCCGTAGATTTTCATGTTGCTTCATGAACGCCGTCTGCTGTTCCCGGATGGAGGCCATCTCCCGCAGCATGAACAGCAGGGTGACGAAACTCACCACAGCCGCGAGCCCTGACAGCGCCAGGACGATTCCATTGGTCCACTGGTTTCCATAGCGACTTACAGAGCCTTCCGGAGCTGCCTCGCCGTTTGGAAACAGCTTCTTGGACGACATCTTCGAGAAACCTTGAAGATGATAATGTAAGTTCAATTAGCACCCTGGTCAATCAACCCTTCCGAGACTCAGCCAAATCGTTTTTAAGATGATAAATTATTATAAAATGTTGCAGTTGGGAAATAAGATTATATCATTTTTATGACGATTTACCACATTTGTGGAAGAATTGACATAACAGGTGACTATCACCTCTTCAAAGATGTCAACCCCGAGACCAGATCGTAAGGTTTGAACCACTCACACCGGGAAGGTCCCCTACTCTTTTCGACAAGTGCGGTGGGTTCTTTAACGTGTGTGGGGTGTGCCTCTCCCAAACACGGGACCTCCATTTAACGTCCTATCCTAGGGACGTCCCTAACCAAAGCTAGGTACTCATTTACACCTGAGTGAATTGAGGAAAGTCGTGTAAAGTGCCTTTCCCAAGGTCACAAGATCGTTGGCATCGGGCAGGATTCGAACCCTCGCCCTCTCGAGTCTGGGCCGAAGACGCTACCGCTACGCCACACGACACGACCATTTTCGCCTGGTACCCTCCCTTGTGTCCTACTATCACAGGAAGGAACCTCCTCGGTCCCAATACGTGGCCCTGCGTACACAGGCGCAAACTCAGCCAATCCATACTAAAAGCCCAGCGTCGCGACTTGTGCTACAACTATACAAAATGCCTGCTTAAAACAAAGACATTCAGGAACTGGATTTCGCTTATTCACGACATCAGTACCGGAGACAACAGAGAAATCATGAAAACGCATTAACGACAAACCGTGCTGTATTGAATTTGGCCCAGTCTCGCAGAGAACTTGTGTGTTCGTATACTTTTCTTTAGTAAAAGGCTGAAGTGCTGCCAACCTGTCAGTCGTATGATTATTAAGAGGAAGTGAAATTGGTACGATATGTCAGGTACAGTAAAGTTAAGGGCAAGAAGAATAAAAAGCAAGTAAAGGTATTCACTCACCGCTGTAGTAGTGCCCAGACGCGGTGTCAGGTCAAACACTGCTGGTTTGCAACATGTAATGAATGGCCGTGGGACAGGGGAATATTTGGTTTACATCTAAATTGAAGACCTGTAAGTACCTTAACATGCTGTCAATTGGAAAAGTGGCCCCGGAAACTTAACAAAAACAATTCTATTACACAATCACTCTGGTCAATCAGCCAGTAAATGAGAAAACCTTTCGTTGAAAGAAATCTTTAATTTGTTTTACAAAACAGCTACACCAACGCATGTCTACATAAAAGATAATTACGTAAATCCTATATTTTTCCATGGCAACTCTTCGGTCCCCTATCAACAGATTTGTACCCTCTTAGCGGCAACAGGAGGCAACTAAAAGCTTATAAAGCGCCACTTTTTCAGTTACCATAACAGATTAATGAGGACTGATGGACTCCATTGAAATGCATGTTACTGAGAGAATCCCATTAGTGCGGTAACCTGGCAATGTCGCTAAACTTTAGGCTGCTTTACACTCGTTCTTTGGCTGTGTGGAAACTTTATTATCACGCTAAAACTACGGGCCTTGTCTAAAGTAGGAAGGGAGAACTCATGAGTCCACAGTGGAGAACACATGATTGAAATTGGAAACACGACATTTTACCGAGAACTTGTCGACTTAAGCTACCTAATATGAAGATCGAGAAATGATTATAGTTACGATTTTTTTTTTTTTACTTCAGATTCACCTCAAAACAAGGCTCGTGAGAGCCACTTACATGTTTTGGGTTACAGTGATGACTGCGTGGTCAGATATTTGTTCACCCTTGATTTAAACCGTTGGAGGTTGTAATTTGCGGTGAAACATTCACGGGGAAGCTTGTTCCACAGTGAAGTGGTTCTGGGGAAGAAACCGTCAGCATGAAATTTTCTCTTGACTGATGGACTATTGAGGAAGGAAGGGTGATTTTCTGCTGTTAAGGTGGCTAAGCGTGTTCTTGCAGAGAATGTTCTGAGTGGGGGTACAAGGGAGTGAAGTTCAGCAGAGCATCTACTAGGTATGAAGGCATTCAGGGGAATATATGGTTTACATTTCAATTAAGGACCCGTAAGTAACTTAGCCTGTTGTCAATGAAAAAAAACATAGCAATAGCAATTCTATAACACAATTACTCTGGTCAATAAGCCAGTAACTTAGAAAACCTCTCATCGTAGAGGAAACACACTTTTGACACAACAGGTACACCAAAGAATGTTTATGTGGGTTCGTGTGGCGTAGCGGCAGAGTGCGCGATTCGGAACCTAGAGGTCCCGGGTTCGAGTCCTGACATGCCACCGATCTTGTGCCCTTTGGAAAGGCACTTTACACGACTTTCCTCACTTCGCTCAACTGAAAATGAGTATTGTCCTGTCATGTATCTGTCCCCTGTGTTGGTGTTGAAAAAACTTGAATGTGCCGTCACCACGTCTGGTGATTACATGTTGGAATAAAAAAAGAATGTCTACATAAAACGTGTTACACAGTACGTTAATCCTATACTTCCCAAGGCAACCCTACGGCCACACATTAGCAGCATTATATCATCTTTGCGGCAACAACAACACGCAGGAGGCAAATGAAAATGTAGGATTAACTTAGGCTCTGGTTTACCTGTTGTGTAAATCCTTTTAAAAGATTTCTTTCAACGAAAGGTTTTCCACTTTAGGCTCTTATTGACCAGAGTGACTGTGTAATAGAATTGTTTTTGTTATGTTTCCGGGGGCATTTCTCCCATTGACAACATGTTAAGCTACTTACAGGTTCTTAATTTAGATGTAAACCATATATTCACCTGTCCCACGGTCATGCATTGCATTTGGAAAACCTGCAGTGTTTGAGCTGACGCCGCGTCTGGTAACTACTACAGCGGTGAGTGGAAACCTTTACTTGTTTTTTATTCTTCTAGTCATTACATTTACTGTACTAAGTGTACTTGATACATACTGGTTAATTTTAGCTGTTTATGATGGTTGTAAGATGAGAGAAGTGCACTTATAAGTTTTTTTCTTTCTATCACCAGCCTGTTTCCACTGTAGTACACAACTAGCATTTCGTAACTATAATTATTTCTCGATCTCCATGTAAAATACCTTACGTTGGCAAGGTCTCGGTAAAATGTCCTCCTTCTGTTTTTAATCCTGTTCACTCTCGATGTTATCCGCCGTGGACTTGTGAGTTCTTCGTTACTTTTGTAGACAAGGCCCGAAGTTATAGCGTGATAGTTAAGTTTCCACACAGCCAAAGAACGAGTGTAAACCAGCCTAAAGTTTAGCGACATTACCAGGTTACCGCACTAATGGGATTCTCAGCAACATGTATTTCAATAGAGTCCATCAGTCCTCATTAATGTATTATGGCAACTGAAAAAGTGGCGCGTTATAAACTTTTATTTGCCTCCTGTTGCCGCTAAGAGGATACAAATCTGTAGATAGGGGACCGAAGAGTTGCCATGGAAAAATATACGATTTACGTAGTTACCTTTTATGTAGACATGCTTTGGTGTAGCTGTTTTGTAAAACATTTCAAAAGATTTCTTTCAACAAATTACTGGCTCATTGACCAGGGTGATTGTGTTATAGAATTGTTTTTGTTATGTTTCCTGGGGCACTTTTCTCATTAACAACACTTTCAGGTCTTTACTTGAGATGTAAACTATGTATTCCCCTGTCCCACGGTCGTGCATGACATATGGAAAACCAGCAGTGTTTGATCTGACGCCGCGTCTGGTAACTACTACAGCGGTGAGTGGAAACCTTTACTTGTTTTTCATTCCTCTTAACGTAACGTTGCCTTACTGTACTAACTGTACTTGATACATGCTGGTTAATTTTAGCTGTTTATGATGGTTAGAAGATGAGAGAAGTGCACTTATAAGATTTTTTTATTTCTATCACCAGCCTGTTTCCACTGTAGTACATACCTACCATTTCGTAACTATAATTATTTCTCGATCTCCATGTAAAATACCTTACGTTGGCAAGGTCTCGGTAAAATGTCCTCCTTCTGTTTTTAATCCTGTTCACTCTCGATGTTATCCGCCGTGGACTTGTGAGTTCTTCGTTCCTTTTGTAGACAAGGCCCAAAGTTATAGCGTGATAGTTAAGTTTCCACACAGCCAGAGAACGAGTGTAAACCAGCCTAAAGTTTAGCGACATTGCCATGTTACCGCACTAATGGGATTCTCTCAGCAACATGCATTTCAATAGAGTCCATCAGTCCTCATTAATGTGTTATGGCAACTGAAAAAGTGGCGCTTTTTCAGCTTTTATTTGCCTCCTGTTGCCGCTAAGAGGATACAAATCTGTAGATAGGTGACTGAAGAGTTGCCTTGGAAAAATATAGGATTTACGTAGTTACCTTTATGTAGACGAGCTTTGGTGTACCTGTTGTGGAAAACATTTCAAAATATTTCTTTCAATGAAAGGTTTTCTAATTTACTGGCTTATTGACCAGAGTTATTGTGTTATAGAATTGTTATTGTTATGTTTCCGGGGCCACTTTTCCCAATGACAACATGTTACTTACAGGTACTTACAGGTCTTCAATTTAGATGTAAACCATATATTCCCCTGTCCCACGGCCATTCATTACATGTTGCAAACCAGCAGTGTTCGAGTTGACGCTGCGTCTGGACACTTGTTTTTTTTTTTAATTCTTTTCCTGCCGTTACCTCTACTGTACTAAGTGTTCTTGATACACAGTGGTTTACTTTAGCCGTTTATGATCGCTGTTACCTTTACTGAAATTGATATATTGTACCAATTTTACTTCTTCTCAATAATTATGCGGCAGGTTTTCTGGTTGACAGCACTTCTAACCTCTACTAAAGAAAAAAGTACGAACGGCATGCAAATCCAGCTGTGCGGTCTAACAACAATGTCTCATACATACAAATTCTTTGTGAGACTAGATCAAATTCAATACACCAAGGTTGGCCCTTTTTGCATTTATACTAGTGTTTCTGATACTGAAGCCACCGTGAAAAGGTCCAAACCTGTTCATGTATCTGTATGTCTCAATCAGGCGTTTCGTAAACTTGTAGCACAAGTCGCGACGCTGGGCTTACGGCATGGATAAGCCCCGTTTGCGTCTGTGTTCACAAGGCCAGATTTTGGGACCAGGGATGTCCTTTCGGTTCCTTCTGGTGATAGCAGAACACAAGTGAGGGTCCCCGGCGCAGGTTATTTCATTTTCGAACTGCAACAATTTATTATCTTATCTTATTTGGCCGATTGTAATCTGAGTCTCGAGAGGGTTGATTGGGCGGGGAGCTGATGAGAATCATGTTTTCATTTGCTTCATATTCCGCCAGGTTTCTCGAAGATGTCGTCCAAGAAGCTGTTTCCAAACGGCGAGGCAGTTCCGGAAGGTTCTGTAGGTCGCCATGGAAACCGGTGGACCAATGGAATCCTCCCGGCGCTGTCAGGACTCGCGGCTGTGGTAGGCTTCGTTGCCCTGCTGTTCATGGTGCGGGAGATCGCCACAATGCGGGAACAGCAAACGGCGCTCATGAGAGAGATACGGGATATACAGCATCAGCAAACGGCGTTCCAGGAAGATCTCCGGGTTCAGCAAACGGCGTTCCAGGAAGATCTGCGGGATCAGCAAACGGCGTTCCAGGAAGATCTGCAGGTTCAGCAAACGGCGAAGTTCCAGGAAGATCTGCGGGATCAGCAAACGGCGCTCATGAGAGAGATACGGGATATACGGGATCAGCAAACGGAGTTCCAGGAAGATCTGCAGGTTCAGCAAACGGCGAAGTTCCAGGAAGATCTGCGGGATCAGCAAACGGCGTTCCAGGAAGATCTGCAGGTTCAGCAAACGGCGTTCCAGACAGATCTGCGGGAAGAACTACACTACCTAAAGGATCAGGTGCTCCAGATGCAGTTGAAGCAAGAGAAGGAGGCTGAGGACAAGGTAAGGATGATTTTTTCCGTTTTTTCTGAAGAGATTAAAGCGTCGAAACCTTTTTCTAAGCCATTCAACAGTTTATGAGCACCATTCGTGCAAATATGTGAAGCTCAGGGTTGCAATTAGGAGCCTTGTTGTGCTCTGAATTAGAAACAAGTAAATGTTCATCGTGAGTTAAGTAGCTTTATGTGATTGTCCTATCATACTTTAAACAAGTAAGTATTCATTTTGAGTGAAGTAGTTTTATGTTTTTGTGTTTTGTCATACTACAGTATATAGCCTATGGCAAAGCTTGCGACTGTGCTTGTTAACTGTAACGTGAAAATACTTGCCTTATAGGGCCCAGCTAGCTCAACTGACGATTGGCGACGTGATGACAGCGCCACCTTTTGGAAAAGTGCGGAGATGCACCGCAGATCAAAGAGGAACTCAGAGGCCAAGACTGTACTCATTCTAGGAAAACGTTCAGGTAAGTAGGTTGGCTTGCCGGTCTGTCAGGTGTTCCATTGGGAATGCTCTTATCTGTAAGGAAAGTTCAAAGCTTTGAAGAATAACAATAAATGTTTATCAAACCAACAGAGTTGGGATGTCTGTCAGGACCCCCCGCGAGTGATGGTCCTGCGCAGGTCAAACCCCCAGCAGCCCCGACTGCTCCTCCGCAGGTCACAACCCCAGCAGCCCCGACTGCTCCTCCGCAGGTCACAACCCCAGCAGCCTCGACTGCTCCTCCGCAGGTCACAACCCCAGCAGCCCCGACTGCTCCTCCTGCAGGTGAGTTTTGGGGTCCGAGTTTCTCACGGTTCTGATGCTACACTTCCGGGTCTTACAACAACACAGTCATAACGTTTCCACTGTCGTGCCTACAAACTATGACACATCCCAGCATTTCAAATACGGGATGGCAGTCATATACAAGTGTTACCGGTCACATTATAATTACCTCATTATGCAAACATTTTGATGCAGTACAATTGCTTTTTGTCCAATAGTTGCGACCCTTTTTGTTCTTTTCTTACTTGTCGCCTACTTGTTCCCACATTTACGGATTTTTTTTTAAATTTTGTCATCTACTAACAGAGTTATGATGAGTTACCGATATGCTCCTATTGTATGTGTATCAATCATAACATCGTGACTCTGTTCCCTGCTACTTACCGTTTCCCAGAGGCAGACTGTGCTGCATATAAAGCCGCCGGACACACGACCAGTGGAGTCTACACACTTGGCCCACCCCTGTCCGGTGTAACGGTCTACTGTGACATGGATACAGACGGTAGATATTGTTTCCAGGCACATAGATATCGGTGATATACACAGGTGTGCCCTAAATATACGCCTGTTTAACGCTTCGCACACTGAAGTTGTTTGGCTGCCAATTCGCAATGTTTGAGTTATCCAAGTTGATTCCAATGGCACCACACAATATTATACATATTGTGCACAGCATGAGTTCAAACAATAAACCGGTCTAACTCCCCTGCCTAACTAGTCCAAAACTTGCAAACGCAACGCTAATACACAACGATAAAAGTCTATCCTCTTGTTATTGGTCTAACCGCTATTTTTAGATTGTCACAGTAACTGACACTCTGACAAATTTTGTATATAACTCTTTTACTTCGTATGTTATTCTATATGTTTTAATCACGTCTCGATCCGAAATTGTGATTGTCCCTACACAATTCAGCCAACGTCTTGGCTGCTATGTATGTGTCAACGGTTATTGAAATAAACCGATATTATTCTAAAGGTCAGAAGCACATACTACAGATATAAGCGCCGCAATTTCTGCCACTTTTGGATAGTTTAGAGGGTTTAAATTAGCCGCCCCGGAGACCTTAATGGGTTGGTCTATTCCAATCAATTTTCACCACAGTGCGAAGACCTTCTGTACGGTCATCATGGAAAAACTACTTCCATAGCGACATAGTCTAGAAAGTAACGATGTGTGTTTTCCCACAGGAGGAGGATGGACTGTCATCCAGCGCAGAATGGACGGGTCGGTTCCCTTCAGCCGGACCTGGGAGGAGTACAAGCATGGGTTTGGGAACAAGAACGGGGAATACTGGCTTGGGAACGAGAACATCCACCGCCTGACACCGAAGGACTATAGAATGCGGGTGGATATGATGGACTGGGGTGGGGAGACGGCCTACGCAGCATACGATACGTTTAGGTTGGTACTCCTCCTTTCAATTAGAAATTTATCTATTAGTAAGCAAATCATCATTGTCAGGATGTCACTTGGAAATACGTAAAACACACAGAAGAAGAGTTCAATCCTAAAAACTCTGCTACTGTAAGTCATGTCTAAGTTAGATGACCATCATTAGGCATTAGGTTATGTAAATGTTCAGGTCAATCCTGCCAAAGGATAGGACTTTCACGCATACATGATTTATACATTCATACAATTTATACATGAGATACATTTATTACATTTATTACATGTATACATGTATCATATTTGATAGAAGACGTTAAGAATATGCTAATAACAACATTTCTATCATCAATAAGACAAAAAAAACACAGCAAAATTTTCACAAGCTCTAAGTACCTCATGGAGGTATAAGATCTCTAAACTCTAATTTGCTTTACAAACAGGCCAGAATCAGAATCAATGCAGATTGTCGTTCATAGCTGATATTGTGTGATTTGCTGTTCCCATCCAGGTTGGCCGGTGAGTCGGACCAGTACCGGCTGACCGTTTCCGGGTATTCAGGCGACGCGGGAGACGACATGAATTACAACAACAGGATGATGTTCTCCACTGTGGACAGGGACAATGATTATGCCAGCTGGAACTGTGCTCAGTCGCGCGGACAGGCCGGCTGGTGGTTTCATAAATGCAGCTTGGCCCACCCCAACGGCCGCTACCTGGGCAACTGTGGGAACTCCTGTCCAAGCGCGCAAGGTGTGACGTGGGGCAACTGGAGAGGCCAGCAATACTCCCTAAAGTCTGTGTCTATGAAAATCAGGCCACGATAATCGCATCTGCTCTACTAAATCTGATCACACCCAGTTATCCACAAAACCATCAATCCTACATGTCTGTAAAGCTGACAAGTAACTCTATTGTAGCGGCTTTGTCTGATACAAACTTACACCAAAATGAGTCATCTTGAATGTATCAGTGAGGCGGACATTGATGTTTGGTTGAGGCTCACAGCTAACTGGAGAAGTGTTCAGATATAGTTGTTTTGGAGCAAAATTTTTAATACAAGTTTTTTATAAGTGACGATACCTGAAATATCTAGCGACTGATTAAAAAGCATGGTGGTGGCTTATTTTGATGCTGGGAGCTTCTGATATAACATATTAATGCATTTTGAGGACATGCGTTTCTTTGCTGTAGAATTTCAGTAACATACCTAGTCACTTGAAGACAGAAGAAAGATGTCTAGACTATGCATGATGTACAAAATGACTAATAAACTGGTGGATGTCCCAACTACTAAGTACCTAATACCAGCCCAGAAGAGAACAAGAAATAGCCAGGCATTCAAGTACCAGAGTTATCAACCAAGGATTGAGGTGTTCAAGAATTCATTCTTTCCTAGAACTATCGCAGAGTGGAACTCACTGTCACCAAGTACAGTAGGGGCACTGTCAATAGATAGCTTTAAACAATGTCTAGAGCTAGAAGTTCAAGGGTTAGATGGAACAACTCGATCGGTGTAATATAGCCAGCTGCCGCCGCGCCGCGTGCCTGCGAAGCTGGTGTGTTACGCCGAAAGGCGGTTATACCGGCTATACAGATACAGATACAGATACAGAACTGTAATAATGTTGTAGTAATACATTCCTTATAAGACTGTACAAGTATGTAGCCTCTGTACACTTATAAACTACATAGTCTTCTGTGGAATACATTAGTCACTGAGAACTAATGTTGTATCGGTAACCACAGTTACCCAGAAGTAGAAGTTGTATTTATCTACAATTGCTGAGTGATAAAATTCAAAGTTTCCAACCAAAAAAGTTTCTTACCAAAATGCCATTTCTTGTTCGTCCTTCTGAGCCGAATGTTTTCTTCAGAAAATATGTCTAAGAAAACGCTATAAGAATGAATATTTACTGTAAGGTTATTTCCTGCAAGGCAGTTACGTAACTGTGATGTTGTAGTCCTTTTTTTTTCTTTGCAAGGTGTAACGCTACATAGCAAAATGACAAGGAACAGCTACGTGCTTGGGAGATGAATGAAAAGTCAGTTTGCATCTGAGTTGGTAAAATACATAATGAAAATCAAACTGTTCTCCACCCCAAGACACGAAAATAATTCACCAGAAATATTCGACCGAATCACTCAATTTTGATAAAGACTGAGTGATTCGGTCGATAATTTCTGGGGAGTTTAGATAATATCTTCGTGTCTTGAGTTGGAGAACAATGTGATCTTCATTATGTATGGTCTGTTTAGTCACTCCTTTAGCATCACATTTTAACCATGTCGACATTCACTGCAGAGAACTGTAAAGCTGTGAACAGTGTTGAGTACGTGCCTAACGGTAAACGTCAATCTAGTCGAAATGTGTGATTAAAGAGATTGCATATGCTTCTAACTTCGTCCTTTGTGATTCATTCGAACGACTTATCCAAGTAGCTACAATCATTTTTAGCTGGCCCAGGCGACATTTTAATACTAGTTAACAAACACCGTCTCTCAACTACATCTAAAAAAGTCAGTTGGTTTTCATGCAAAGGTAGTAGTAGCTAGCAGTAGTAGGTGTGCACGAATTTGACAGTATTTTTTGCTGACTAAATATTTGAAGTTGAACGTTCATTATCTTTCTTGGCGTCCTTGTCATCCTGCCGATCTCCCATCTCCAAAGTTTCCCCCCTTGCCGACGGGCCAGGCCCCGCAAAGAGAGGAGAAACCGAAACCTGCATCACGGCAAACACGACCAGCAATGCGCAGCCGCAGGACATGAAGAAGTACAGCATGGCGCGAGGACCGACGTACTCAAACAGGTAACCTGTGACGGAGAAGAACCAAACAAAGCCAACATTAGGTACACGTATGTCACAAAGTAATTATAAAATATTTCAAGAAATACTACTATGTCACAAATTACTTATAAAATATTACATAGAAAATGTTTGCATGTTTTGAAGAATATGTCGAGCACATGTAATGTAACGGTTATATTCGCAAGATAACAGAAACAATGATAAATACATATCAATGGATCTACTAGTATTTACTTCAAATTATAAATTATCATTCAACCAGGTGAACAACAGAATGTACAATAAAAATTAGTGCATGTGATGTCTAACTTTACTTGTGTTGTATTTATTGAATTTACGTGAATAGTAAGATGCTGAGTTTCTTTTTATGTATGTACATGTATGTAATGTAACGTAATGTAATGTGAATTAAGTTTGGAAACAAACCTGTGACGTAGTTCGCTGCCGTGCTTCCCACCGACGCCCCTACGACACAGATGGCGAAGACGACTGAAGAGGCGTCCAGGTAGCGGTTTGCCCAGGCCGTGCCACCGGGAAACACCGAAGAAGAGAAGAGACCCAGGATACAGGTAAAAGCCCAGAACACCTGCCAATTATACATAGATATGCAAATTCATTGAACCGCGACGGGGGCCGACATCGTCTACCAGATACCTTTGACCCAATGTTGACGTCACACGTCAAAGAAGCTACGTGACAAGCTTCTCTGGGTCAGTCTACTGAGGAAGACCAGAGTGAAAGGTCGAAAGCTCTAGGTGAGAGAACTTTTTTGTGTTGGATCAAAAGTTTTAACTTTAAACAGATATGCAAATTCATCCTTTCACTTAAAATATATTTGATTTCTATATGATATTATTTAATGTATGCATGTTTTGGACCGCTTATTCTTCTGTTACTTAAGTTCGTGCTTAAGTTACCTTATTTTAATTTGCCCCTTGATTGTACATAAGTTTCTTACTTTACTAGTATGTGGTATTGTTATTATTTTTGTGTGTTTGGTGATTGCCCCCCCCCCCGGGTGCATTGAAACCCGCCCTCCAGGGCGAATGTTCTCTAGTTAAATAAACAAATAAACAAAAAAACAAACAAACAAACAAAATAAACAAACCGTCTTGTCTGTCGCTCCCCAAGCCGCTAGAACCACCCCAGAGATGCATAGGCCTGTGATTTCAACACTTAACATAACGTGAATGGGCACCCAGGCGGCTATGGCAATAGACAGCCACCGCATCGAAGCGTAACAGATCCAGAAGGTGGAGTAGACCACGCTGGCTTCAGGTTTAGTGTACATGCCCGTCTCCACCATGTAGGACACCATGTACTGCGTGAACGGGTTCTGGTTAAACTGGAACATGGTGTAAAAGAGGAAGAGACAAACCAGAAGGAAGACAGCCTTACGGCCCTGTCCCTCGAGAAAGCGACTCGGAGACACAAAGGCGGAAAAGGATTTGGGAGATTTTTCAGGCTGCTTTCGATCGTAGTAGGTGGCCAGTTCGCGGTACTGGAAGTAGAAAAACACGAAGCCGATGATAAACTGAAGAACCGACACGCCAACGTACGGCCATTGCACACTGGACAGCAGCCAGGCTTCTTCCACAGTCGGAGGAGCGGGTGTAGTACCATTGGCGTCCGCTGGGGGGCGGTCCGGCGACAGGAAGGGGATGGCGATGAGAGGGATGATGAAGGCACCGATCGGGTACCCAGAGTGCATCGCGTGCATGGGGGCTGACGCCTTCTCTCCCCACAGCCGCACGCAGACCACCGAGCCGGCTGGAAGGGGGAAAAGATAACATGGTATGCTCATATGCCTTTTTATTGATATGGTAAAGTCAATATTTATTTGTGGGTATAGCTTAGCCTCTACCAGGCTTTGGGAGACTGCTGGATAGAGTAGATATTGGCCAAATAGAGAGATGAGATTCCGGGGGGGAGTTTGTCCTGTAGATAGTGGTGGGACAAACTGTACTCTCTCGCGGAAAAAACTCCCTCGGTATGTTATAATCTCTCTATTTGGCCAATCTCTACTCTTTCCAGCCCGCCCGAAGCCTGGTAGAGGCTAAGGCTAGCACCTTACTGTACCGCCTTGCCCATTTAACAAACAAGCAAACAAACAAACAAACCAGCGTCCGTGAAGCCGTGCCCCCACCCCGCCAAGTGTTGCAGGAAGCCCAGGCCCCACAGGGTTGTGGTGAAGGGCGTCCCCGCCGTGCCCAGCCAACAAACAAACAAACAAACAAACAAACCAGCGTCCGTGAAGCCGTGTCCCCATCCCGCTAAGTGTTGCAGGAAGCCCAGGCCCCACAGGGTTGTGGTGAAGGGCGTCCCCGCCGTGCCCAGACCGGCAGCCATGAACGCGAACCCCAGGATTACCCACGAGTACTTCGGCTGGAAGTCCAGGAAGATGCCGCCGGACACCGTGGACAGGAAGTACCTGTAGGGGTGT